GAAGTCACTGTGCCTTGCCAAGCATGAGCCACCGAGCAGCGGGACAGCCTGCCCGGCCAGAGCTGAGGTGCTCCCTGTGTTTCTTTGCAAGCCAGGCAGGAGCTGCAGTGCTCGTAGCACTTCTGAAATGCACAAAGTCGCTGGCTGCACCAAGGGAGACCGAGCTAAACTGCAGCTTTTGCAGGCACTAGATAGCTCTGGGACTACTTGCGAGCTTCAGACACCTAACAGCAATGAATGGAAATCTCATTTGGAAATGACTAGCCCGTGTCTTCAACATCGTGGTTTCAGTGCTCTTGATGAAACCATGGAGAAACTAGCCCTGTGCATATATGCACCCGTGGTATACCTGATTTTGGTTTATTTTTAAACTCTTGAAACAAACACAAAATCATGATGGCAATCACAAGCATGACAGAAGTCCTAGACTCTTTATAATGCTCCTTATAATGCTAATTTGAACAGGAAAATTAGATCAACTTCCTCTTGAGGGAGAAGCCAGAGAAGGAAAACAGATGCTAGATATGTGGAATTGGAAGTGGAGGAAGTAACTCCATTCTTTGATTCCAGATTTTAATTTTAAGCTTTTGTTTTTCTGAATCAGAGATTCTAGTCCAGTTAAGTTGTATTCACTTGTTGAATGACTGTATTTGATCAAAACCATTTCCAGGGCTCTCAGTTCTGCAGTGCTTCACAGTCTCTGCTCTATCCTCCACACCAATTAGGGAGACAAAACCAGGGCAAAGCTGTATCCCCCACATAAAAATAATGAGCAGCCTCAAGTCTCAGAGGAAGTGTGAGCAGGACAAGGCACTGACCTGGATTTCCCAAGTCACTGCCTAGCAGCTCAACCACTGGATCACCTTCCCTGCAAAACCTGGCTCTCTTCAGTTACGCTGTTTTTCTCCCCGCTTTTGTGCACAGGGTGGGCCAAGGAGGTGAGGTTGGACTCCTTAGCTGTTCTTCCAGAAAAAATGAACACAAAAGATATTAAGAAGAGATTACCTGTTAGATATTTCACTTTAGCTCGTGCTCTTTCATCTGCATCAAAATACCACACTGTTATTGCGTACCTAGGGAAACGGATGGAAAAAGAACTCCTGAACTATGAAAAAAAAACGCAACGGTGAAACACTTGACATAAAACACAACTTAAATGAGATATTTCTGCAGTCTGACAGAAGATTTCATAAAGCACCAAGCAAGCAGGGTTTTTTTCTATTGTGGGTATTGTCTGAACAGTCAGTGAAAGGGTGACACTGATGCTGTAAGTTTACGCTTCTTTTTCTTGATGAGTTGCTATTACTGTTCTTGCCCAGAACCTGTAATATAGTCTCTGTCCAGATCACCTTGCCCTGTGACCTCATCTTTTACTTTACTCTGTCAAGTCCATCACTGAGTCATACTGCAAGAATGTCTTTTTTTGGATGTTTGCCATTAACTACCCCTTCTTACACAGCTCCTCTGGTTTTCCACTGCCTGTAGAGGATTTAAATATGAAATGCCAGCTATTGAGAAAAGACTTTAAGGAGCTTTAGTAAATGGCATTTCATCCTCTGACTCTGCTGGGAGCACAAAGGGGGAGGGGAAAGGCTGCAAGATGACACGCCGATGGCAGTTTCAAGTTACTGCTTGCAAAGGTACTTGTGTTATCTCTCAGCTCCAGTCAATGTTCAGTGCTCTGGCCATGCAAACAGGTTTTGAGACATGGGCAACAGGAAGTCTGGATGAAGGACTCCAGTGATTTGCCTATTAACGCTATCTGGAAACTCCATTCAAGATGTGGGGGCACTGAATGCAGGTACCTTTAGCATCATCCACTGCCCTACAGTGAGGGACAAAGGAGACATGAAATTCCCTCTGTGACTCAGACCGGAAGCAACTCCTCTAATACTCCAGAGAAAGAAAAGATTTGTGTATCAATGGTAGTTTCTGCCCCACAGCCCTCTCCCAATTCCCAAACAAAGCCACCCCTAGAATAAAGAAGGGAGAGTGAACATGACCATCTTCTAACAACTCCCTCTGCCCCAAGAAAAGAGGACATAGAAGTGATTACCTAGTCAATCTTTCAGTAACACAGTAAGGTGCTAAGGAAGGGACCGCAGTGTAAAGCCATTACAGAGAAATAAGGAATACAAGACCCCTTGGCTAAGGTGGGGTCTGCTTAAGGCTCTGTGTGCTCCTACTCAGTTCTGCCAAGCACACCCTCAGGAACTTCTGGTGTTTCCTGTCCTCCCTCCTACCCACCCAAGAGGATGTCTTCTCCAAAATAAGAGATGGGACATCGGTACAAATGCAGCAGCACAGCAGAAACCTAATCAATCAGTAGAAAAAACCCCACCCTTCTCATAGTGCAACTGGAACTGTACATGGAAAGCCCTGGGATCAGGTCATAATTCATAGCGTCACTCATTTCTCATCAGGATTCACTCATTTCTGGATAAAAGAGGCATAGTGCAGTACATAGAGAGCCCATTAGTCCTACCTTGTAGCAAATGCTGGCTGTACTTCATGAGGGTTGCGGCGATCAGACCAGAAGAATAGCAGTCTATCAAATTTGGGTTCAATATCAGCGAATTGGGCTTTACCTTCTGGAAATATCCGAAGGATGCCTCCACTTACCTACAAATTAAATATTTAAAACTAGTGCTTGAAAACAATGTCTCAGTGTATTAAAAAGTACTGAATATCACATTTGAAAATACTTCAGACACTTGGAACTGAAATAAAAGCCTTTATCATATGCTACAGAAATTATGAAACTACAGCTTTTGTATTAATACATTTCATATAATGAAATGTTTTACACATTTTACACTGAGTAATATCAGAATGCTTGCAAATATTAAACCTCCATTCACATTTAAGTAAAAAGCTGTGGGTTTAGACTGATTGGTTTTTAGCTGCATTACCTACTCACAAAAAATGGACAAGACTGACTGATATTACAAAAATATGCTAATACAGATGAGAGAAACATTGTATTTCACATCCAAGTTTCACTCTTCCCATTAAAGATACTGTTTCATTCAACAGCAACACAAGTTTATGTCCTGTTTCTGTAAATTAGATGAGGAAAGACTAGGAAACTTCAACCTAAAACTGGAATCTGTATTACTCCTGATCAATTTAGAGCTCTTCCTGGCTACTGAAAAACAGTTGGACCTACCTACGCGTGCCTAAAAAACATTAAGTCACATTAACTTCTTTGTAACAATGGTACTGATGTTGTTAAATCTAACTATAGATAGTCACTGCAGGCCTTCACGGGAAAGTCATAACAGTGCGAATAGTAACAAGGTAAATTGATATAAATGACTGTTTAGTCATTGTGATCTAAATTGGTGAACAAGAAGCAACAATTTAGATCAATTTGTTGTCCTAAAGAAAGTGTGAGCTTCTTTCTTTGCTAACCAATATACTTGCTAATATATTAATTTGTATTTTAAAATAGATGTTGCAGGAAAAGAAATACCTCTGTTCATAAATTAAATATCCAGCTAGTAAATTTTTCAGTCATTGTGAAAATGCAATTTGCTCGACACTACACTCTAGTATGTATTGATCTTTTTCCAGGACAGAAACCATAAATGAACTAAAAACATCCCAAAGCTGCATTTTAAGATGTTCAGTCCAACCAGTGCACTTATATGCGAAGATGTTATCATGGCAAAAAAGACTAGTCATTTATTTTCTAATTGAAGGACCAAATTTGACATTTCAAAGAACAAGTCAGAAACAGAAAACTTCAAGCACATCCATTTCTGACTCAGCTTTCCAATCTACCCATTTTACATATGTTACCAGTCTCATTGTCTCATCCAGCTCTTATAGGAGCTGGACAGCGTTCAAAAGAAAAAAAAAAAAAAAGAAAAAAAAGGAAAACTCTCAGCTGCAACCTGTGTTATCCATATCTGGTGCACCCAATTCACAGAAATAGCATTCACAGCTTTTTTATAAGCATACTCAATTACGTAATCTAGTCGCACAAACAATAAATTCAAGATTCAACATAAATGTAAGGAGAAATAAACTAAAACCAACAACTATCTTTCAAATATTTTCTATTTACTCTTTGTGTATGTGTGGTGTGTGGGTGTTGACCATGCAAATAACGTACAGTAAGTTGCATAATTAGACATTTATGAAATGTGGATACTAGCAGATACTTATATGTATAATTAAGAAACATACATGAAAAACATGCAACTTTACTTCAATCTCACCGTGAAGGAGGTGCTGCTGGCATCATTCAAAACCTTGAAAATAAATGCCTCATCTCTATCTGCTCTCACTAACAGTAGAATTAGGGGGGCAAAGGATACCCACAGCTAACATAATGTAAGAATATAACTAAGACACAGAAATAAGGACATGAACAAAGACCTGTAGCAAAGGTGCATTAGCAAGTATATGTTTAAAAAAAAAAGATAAAGAAATTATTGCATACCTTGGCATCCCAGTCTTTATTAAGATAATATATACACGTAACACATCTTCCGTCTCCATTTGGATTATCAACATGGCGCACATATCCCGTTCCATTGCCTGGATAACAAGCCACCATAGCCTAGAGTCAAAATCAAACAGGATAATTAATTTTATCTGTGTGTGGGGGGAAAAGGCAACATTTTATCTGTATTAATCCCTAAGTAACTCATAAGCAACAGACAATTTAAGTTAGAAATAATGGGAAAAGATTTTTTTTTTTAATCTGCGTTGTCTTTCTAGTTAAAAACTGGTTTTGAACACAAACAGATGTCTACAACAAAGGCATGAAACACATTGAGAGGAACACTGTTCATTAAGGATGGAAGGTGGGGCTGCTCCCATCTTGTGACTAATCCTTCAGACTTCCCTCCCTTGAATGAAATACAAGAGAGGAAAAATGTCTTGTGTATAATTAAGCAGCATGTGCTTCTCCTTGTGATAAGAATACTTGTTTTCCAGACTCAAGTTGTTTTGTTGTTGGTTTTTTTCCCCTGCTGTGTTTCCAATGCAAAGAATTCCTCCTCAAAAAGTAGCGTCAAAATTTATTTTTAGGAGACTTTTTAGACAAGACCAGTAGCCCATCTTAATCACTCCAAGTGCATTCTTGGCCTTGTGTTTTGTCCTGTACATAGGAGGTCTTTGAACCTTTGTTGAAACGAGCCTACACATACAACAAAAACATCCTTTTTAGTCAAGAAGTGAGAAATTGAAAAACAGACACCGAACAGTAATCTGCAATAACCTTTCTGACATCAAACGATTCCCAGTACGGTAGTATATTCAACTTCCCATGCTGCACTTAGCTCAGCTGACTTGAAAGACCACTAGAAGGTGGTTTGGGTTTTGAGTCCTCAGGCACGTGGATGTGTGTGTGAAACAAACTGGCCGTCTTGTTAGCGGATGGTCTGATTAGCCTGATTAGCTATCAGTTTGCATGGCCGGTTTGTTGTACGGCACATCCCCATATCTTTACGCATGATGAATTTAATCATTCTAGGTTTTTGACAGAGATCAGAACAAAGTTTTCCAGGCCAAGTCATCCACTGCCACCACAGTACTCGGATGCCTGCGGTGACGATGTGCTTTCTGCAAAAAGTTCCGATATGAATTTAAAAGAAAAGCAAAAAAAAGTGAGTTTCTGCCAACTATCCAATACACAACTAGCTTCAATCAATGTCTGCTGTCTAAAAAAAACCCCAAAACTTTTAAACACAATCATTCCTGTCTAGATTTAGCCTTTTTTAAATTCTAACTTGTTAGACCTCTGGATTTCAAACTCTTTCACCTCTCTTATGTAAAATATAAGAAATAGTTTTCCAAATAGCGTTAGCTGTGAAAATGTAACCCATCAAATTAAAAGTACTGCAAATCAATTGTTTCAGTGCATTTTTTGCTTTATACTGATAATTTTAATGTTTTCCCCCCTTTTTAAAATGTTAACAAATAAAGCTTTCCAGTTTGCCCTACTTGCAAGAAACCATGCTTTGAGCAGACTGAGAAATAGTTTAAAGTACTTGGCAGTTCAATCAGTAAAATACTTGTATATCACATGTAAGCACAATGGATTTCACTAAAGCAGCAAGTATTTTAAAATCTTTATTTCCATGTATACTCTACTAAGGGAAGAAGCAATTTTTTGGTAGCTCCTTCTAGGTAGAAATGAGAACACAGTGTTTGCCAAATAGCACAGTAGCACTCTGGTTATAAAAAAACCCAAACCTAAAAATTAAGCCAAACTTCATTCACATGAGATGGAAGTGACTACACTGCACAAAAATAAGTACTCAAAACTACAAAATTCAATATACTTGTAATTTTGAGATTAGGCACTTCAGCTTCCCAATCCCTTTACTGTAATCATAATCTAGTCATCATTACAGGTCTCACCTTATATAAACATATTACATGTATCAAGTAGCGTGACCTAATATTTGGCAAAGCCATTACTTATCAGTTTTGCTGCAGGAAAATAAACCCACAAAAAATCAAAACAGTGAGTTAAAGATATCAAATAATGTAATAAGGATTCTGTAATTTCCTTTCTTATGGAGAAAAAAGGAACAAAACAAAAGCAAAGCTGGTCTGGAAGAGGAAGATATTTGATTTCCACTGAAAGCCAACCCTCTTGAAAAAAACCCAACATACCACATAAGCCCTGTGTCAAGCTCTCACAGAGCATGAACAGTGCTGAAAGCAAATCCAGATCCAATCCTCTATCATTCCTAAAAACAGGAAAATTATAATTTAAGAGGTTTTGCCGAGAAGTATCATGTAAGTTAAACCCCGATGTTAGTTGTTGCTCAATATCTGCATGAAACAGCTACTAAAACTCATTGAGAATGAAGAAAACTTTGAGACTGAGTAGCTAGAGCAATGTCAATTCTCACTAAAATCATGAGGAGTTAGAGTCAGATATGAAATGATCTTCATGCACATAAATGACCACCAAAATACCTGTTACTGAGCTAAAAAACCTCACGTTTAAAGTTCAGGGCACTTCCCAGGTCTCTCTGGCCAACACAGGGTTTTTTTCAAAGGCACACTTGGTTGCCGTCTGTTCCTCAGATAAAAAAGATAATTTTGCAGTTACAGAAGCACAAATTTGCATCTTATCGCTATAGTTACCTTTATAAGGTACTGAAATGGCTACTTGTTCTCTTTGCTGAAGGGAAATCAAGGGAAGAATCTTTAACATCAATATTGCTGAAGAAAAAGAGGACCAGCAGCGCTTTTTGGAAAGTCTGGGGAAATGCCAGTTGTCATCAACTTAACATACAGAGCAGCCATATTCAAGGTCAGAAGCATTTCATACAATAATTTGAGTATAAAATACTGCCAATGTATAAAAAAAGGCTCTTGTTCTTGACTTTAGACTTTAAAGTCAAAACTTCTTCTATCATTAACTGCAAGAGACGAGAAACAGTTTTGCTGTGATAACTTATCTAATATGTATTTGTTATAACAGTAAGAATGACTCAGCCTTTAGCGGCAAATTGGAAAGCAAACAAATTCTTTAATCAGCCGGTGTAGTATAATGTACATTGGTTTCGCCAGTTAGTGTGACAATTCCTTCTCCCCAGTCGAACTATGATAAGGAAAGTCATAAAACTTAATTTACAGGACACGGGTAATATATTGCTTTGTGAAACAATACAAAGTGAGTTTATGTCAAACTGTCATGTACTGCAAGATTACTCACATGGAAGGGACAAAAAAGTGATCCAGGTAAATAATGAAGTCACACAGTTTTGCTGTTGCTTTACCATTTTACAGCATACATAAGCTAGCAAATATATGTATGTCAGGCAAAAATAAAAATTTGGGTTAGTAGCTTTTTTTTTTTTTTAAACACTGTTAATAGCAACCAAAAAAGCCAGACATTTGAGATCAGAATGTCCAAAATTCCTTAACATTTTAGACTATGAACAATAAAGTTAGCTCTCCAAAATAGAAAGCTACTCATTTCATCAGTTCTCTCATAAAAGTAATCAATGAATTCAACTCAAGGCATTACTTGCATTTTCTTAACAGAAAAGGAGGTCTCCCCCTTTTGTGTTTCTTGGGCATTATAATTTTTAAGCATTCAGTAATCTTAACTTCTGCAAAGAATATACTGAAGTCTCCTGATGGATTTGTTCACCCACTGGATTCCTTTGCAAACATTTTTAATATTAACCTTCTTTAACCCAACAGCATTCCCTCTCTGTCAGCCTGAGCCCTCCTGCCCAGCACATGAGCGCTGTCCTAAGACACCCTCTGGAATTCATGCGTAACGGAGAAAGCATGAAAGCGCCCTCCCCGCTCTGCAATCCACCAAACTTGCGTCTATCAAACCCAAGTACTCACACACTGAAAAAGCTGCTGATCGTTCGGTCACATTCAGATGTTCTGCTTGCAAATGTTTAACTCTGGAAAACTAACTTTTTTTTTTTTTTTTTTGCTAAGCATCTACATCTTTAGCGTGTCAGCCGTTATTCTAATTAGCAATTAAATGCATGAAGGTAACATCAGAGGGAATAATCCATACAGCCATCAGCTAAGACACTCAACCCTGGGAGGCACAGCACATCAGTGCAGCAGAAAATGCAAGTTCAATTGGGATCAGCCTCCATCCCCTTCACAGACAAGTATGACAGCCTTACCCATACGTAAAGAAGGAAAACTTGCAGGTAAACAGACTGAAGCTTTATCCTCTATCCTCTCCATTCCTCTCACAGCTGGCTACCTGCAAGTTTAGGTATTGCTCCTTCAGAAAAGGAAGCAGTAATAGCAAGCTCTTAGGAAACAGGGGAAAATACTAGTTACATTTCAACACAAAATTCTTTTAAGGGGAGGACTCCTCCTTGCCCCAACCCACAAAAATAAAACAGAGAGAGGACCTCTGTTCTGTCATATTAATTTATTAATGTGAAATAACTTTTATTGTTTAGCTCAGATTAAAGAAAGCTGCATCAGTCAAGGAGATGTCACTTTTGCTGTTTGCTGAAGGAACTGCAAATCTCAGTGAGCAAAACAAGATGTCTAAATGCAAGACCAATGACTTTCTACCAAAATTTATCAGATGCTCTCACAAAGACTTCACTGCAAATCCTTGGCATGGGTCATTTGACAGATTATTCAAAAGAAAAACAAAAAACCAAAACCCACCACTAGAATAAAGAACCAAAGAAAAGAAAAAAAACAAACACCTGACCTGTCCCTGGTTAGTCCATCCGTACTGTATTTCTAGTTCAAGAATTTGTTCATCCCTGACAAACAACAGTTCTGAGGAAATGCATTTCAGTTGAAGCGCATGTCACTAAGATTTTTCACAAGGAGTACAAAACAACAATCAAACAGAGAAAAAAGACCGTATTGGTTCCACCTTCACAAGCATAGTCAAGATGACTGACTTAAACGTGGTAAGTGGTACGACTTGGCTTGGACTCAGTCTTCTCCTGCAGATTCTTCACAATCAGAGACAGAAACTTGCAACGCAAAGAAATTATCAACTGGGGAGAAACTTCTGTCAGCCTTACCCAAAACAGAGGAAGCTAAAAGGGGTAAGATAAACTCTTTGGGACACAGCTAATCCAA